TGATGGCCATCATGGATGCCAATTGTTGAGTGTGTGGGAGGCATTAATCTAATGCAGGAGACTTGACTCAAATGGTAAATTGTTAATTTTTTTATATTTATTTTTCAACAAATAAATCTTCATTTCACCTTATGCTCTGTGGCTTTGTTTCTTAAGAGTTCCAGTACAGTATGTGCACCAAAATGCAGGGAAGAGTACAGAGTAAAAAATACCTGCTGGAATAGCTAGTGCCACGGAGTGGAATAGTGTGACCTGTCTTTTGAGGGTAAAAAAAAAAAAAAAAAAAAAAAATCAATGAGGATGCTTTTGGGGAAAAAAGTCTATTAGTGCACATAGCTGCGGTGAGGTGCTCAAGGGTTGCCATAGAGATTCCCTGGATTCATTCGACCGATTGCAAGAAGGGAACACAAAATACTCTTACCGTTAACACGCGGAATGTCTGATCCAAAGCCTGGTGAAGATGCTCAGTGGCTTTCTGTTGACTTCAACGAGTGGTGGATGGCATCCTGAGAGCAGCACTCGACAGCTCATTTCTTGCCGTATCGAGCCCTTTTACATCCTCTGAAAGGTTCATGCTAAAGACTTTGAGAAGATAGGTCTCAGTTGATCAAGCTTTAAAGATATGTTTAATTTTAAGCATAATCAACCTAATGACTTCAAATCCTGTAGGGTATTAGAAGAAAAAGTCTTTCTATTAACACAAAGGCAGAAAAATTCCCCCCCGGCTCTAAAAGTGACCACTGAAGTGAGTTCTGATGTTACGTCTGTTCATTTTTTTCAGTCAACAAGCAACATCCTCAGTTTGGCTGTGCTCACTAACCATCCCCTGTTAGGGCAGGACAACGAGCTCAGCTTGTTTTCTTAAAAAAATGTGATGCCATACTGTTTCACTATTAAAAATAAATTTAAATACAGCGAAACATTCTGTCAGATTAATAAAAAGCATATCTTTGACTTTTTTTTTAATCTTTTTCCAAACTCTTTAAATGTTTAAGCAGACAGCTCATCAATGACATATTGCATAAACGCTTCACTGTTAGAAGTAATTTTTCATGATGAATCTTTAAAGTGCCAGAATATCTGATAAGTTAAATTTTGATGTTCTTTATATGACAAATGCTTAATAGTTGTCTTAGAGTCTTTCTGCACTATGATTTTTATCTGTATTTTATTACGGTAATAATAACATCTAATATACTCTCTCATATCTGTCTTGTTCTTTCTTAAGGTCAAAATTATATCCAGCGCTAAAAGCAGCAAGAGACTTCCTTTCTTCCTTTCAGTATTTTAAGGCAATAAATTACCATCTACATGCAAATAATAGCAAATGAGGAAATCTAAACGTGATATATATATATATATATACTTTAATATGTGCTTGGTAACCAGAAACCCAAGTATTGGTATGTCATTATAACAACTAATTTTCAGTCTTGCAAGTAAATTAGATGCTATTACATCAGGCTATTTAATTGCCTTTCTTGCCAATAATCTGTGAAGAAGGAAAAAAAATATGTTAATTCATCCTCCTGTCTTCAGGTAGATTTCGCTTGTTCATATTTTATTGGATTTGTTCTTTTTATTTTCACCTGGTGGTGGATCTCAGCTGCCTCCTTCAAAGGCGCAGCTGGTTTTCAGGGAGTAGAGGAGCAGCAGGCAACGTGGGCATGGGGGTGGGGATGAGGCTAGAGGTGGAGATGGAGATAGGGATGGAGTTAGGGATGGAGATGGAGATGCAGCACAGGTCCTGCAGCTGCAGGGCAGTGACAGCCTGACCTCAGGGCTCAGGACAGTCTGGCTGCTGGACATAGTGACTTCTATGCCCAAAGATGGCTCTCACAGCCCAAAGACCAGGATCCACCAGTGGATACTTTCATCCAAAGCCTCCAAGGGTAGGTACAAGTTAGAGCAAAGTAGGCTAAAAAATCCCTACGGATTCAGGGATTGTGCACGTCCTTTAAATACATTTTAATGTGTTTAACCAAAGGGTGCAGGATCAAAAAAGAAGAAAATGGACAGTATTACTTGCTGAAGATTGAATAAACTACAGCACCTGTACTTTGAAAGTGCAGGTGTAGAGGATGCCTCTCACTCAGCCTCAGCAAGGAATGAGCATCTCATCTGCTTTTTTGGCAGTAGCTGGAGTAATGGACAATGCAGCTGAAAACAGCTCATAAACCTGGGAATTGCCTTGGCTGTGAAATCCACAGGGCTCCCTGGAGGTTAGAGGATGAACATGGGCATTAGGGTGCTCGGTCCTATGCTGAAGGTGATGCTGGAGGTCATTCTGATGTGGGAGCAGAGCTCCTATCTTTCTCCCAGCCCCAGGATGATGCCACTGCTGCAGAGACCACCTTTCTCTACCCCAAATCACCTCCAAATCACTTCCCAAATCCATCAGTCATGACACCGCTTATGCGAGATGGCTTGATGGAAATAACTCCATATTTTTCAGATGGAGAAATTGAGTAGAAAAGAAGTGCCTTGTCTAAGGTCACAGACTGAGTTACTACCAAAGGTCATGACTGGTCAAGTCATCCCCAGCTTCCCAACTTGCTCCTCAGTCCCTAGAAGAAGCAGTTCCCTTTCCACCCTCTAAACTTGTTTATCCTTTCTCTTAGGTTAGCCAAAAAAATAGTAAAGAAAATACCTTTTCCGAGTAATTAATCCCTGTTCTCCAGAAAGAAATATAATTGATTGCAGCACATTAATTATGCTGTAGGCCAGCATTCCTACAGTTGTTCCTATTGTCCTCTTTGCACCGAAAAAAAGACATTTTATGTCATGTTTCCAGTTTCTGTCAGCATAAAAGTTAATGTGCTCAGCAACGGCACCTTCAGATCCTAATTTTCTGACAGAGATCACTGAGGTTACTCTCTGTTCTTTCCAAAATAAAGCCACCTTTAAAGTTCAGAAAAGAGTTTAGCATTTCATGTCGAAGGCAGCGTAGGCGCTGTGGGTTTCCAGAGGGTGCTGATGGTGAGATCAGGCCACCAGTGACAGAACCACTGCTGTAAATCAGCTGGATAATCTACATTTTCCAGGCTTGCTCGGGGTGATTTAGGTGAGCGCAAGACTTATGGCTCTTGGTGGCCTCCTCATACCATCTTTTTTTTGTATATGCAGATCCCTCAAGGTGGAGTGGCTTGTCAGGGAATGACTAAATCATAAATAATGGGCTTTTTCCTGTAGCCAAGAAGCTGTTTTTCTTGCAGCCCGTACTCTCAAAAAAAGGGGATGAAGGTCTGTGCAAGCAGGACACCGGCTCTTCAGCCTTCATGAACATACCCCGCTCAAAGGCAACTGCCAAATTACTAAATGACTTGGTCGTATACCCGCACAATAAATGAAAAGAGGCTGATTTTCAAAGCTACACATATAGCTGTGTTGCTTACAGACAACCCTGTTTGTCATAGGTTACCAAGGCAGAAATGTATTTGATTATGTAGAATCAAAGTTAACTAAAATGGATGTGAAAGCCCCAGACAAAGATAAATCTGGACTTGTTTCGGTCTTTTTTTCCCTGAAAAATAAGTTGGGTGGTATTTTTTTTTCTTTTTTTTTTTTTCCTTCCCTGAAAAATAAGTTGGGTGGTGATTTGATCTGTCAGGATGGGGCCAGAGCCACCGCAGGTAGCTGCACTGCGACAAAACACCTCCACCTCCCCTGGTATGGGGGTGTGCAGATGCAGAACACACACAGTGTGCCTGCACAAGGGCAGAATTAAATCCATGTTACTTTTTCCCCCGAAGAATTGTTGGACCCTGCACTCAGGACCTGTGTCCAGCAGGTCAGTACCTCTTGGCAACACTTACCAGCACGCCCAGGAGTCACCGGCCAGGAGTCATTCCTAACCCTTCAGCTTTACGGGGTCAAGGGCATTAAAATGCTGCTTCTTGGGCAGAGCTGGAGAGTGTTTGAGTTGGAAAATTGCATTTGCAGGACATCTGCCACGGCTGCAATCACAGCAGCCAAGAACGAGCCCGGGCGAATGCCCTGCTGCAGTGAAAGTCCTGTGTGCCACCACGTTTGGTGGCCCGGGCTTCCTCCATCTGGACATTCCACGAGACAGAGTGCATGAGAATAATAATTATCTAACATTTTCCTCATAGATTTTTAAAGGTCTCTAGGTGTCACCTTGACTAAGAGCTGCAAGAGCTAACCAACCTAGACACCAACGGTGCCCAAAAGGAGTGCAAGTGTTTAAGCCGCTTTAAAAAACACAATATTTTAAACATTTCAGCGTGGACAAACACAGACAGGAGTGTCTTTGGTCTCCTGGAACCAGCCAGAAATTAAGCAGCTGCACTCCAGAAACCCAGTATCACACCAGTTGCTTTTCCAGAACTCCAGAAACCCAGTATCAAGTTGCTTTTCTCCATGGGCATCATAGCAGTGATGGTGCCACCCCACCTCATTCCAGGTTTAACAGCAACCTCCCAGGTTATGATATTTAACAGGGAAATATTAGAAAGCATCCAAATACTGATTTATTGTTATCTTAGCTTTGAATTGGAAAAGCATTTGCACGGACACTTCAACCCGATGCTACAGCTTGTTACACTGCGTTTGGAGGGAACAGCCACAAGGTAAAATTCACACGTATGTCACTCAGCAGATGACCTTTCCTACACTCCACATTTACATATTTTCAGACCAAATGACCTTTTTTTTTCTTTTTTTTTAAACAGGATATTAAAAACCTCACCATTAATTACCGCGCCACCACTGTAGCAGAGGAGCAGGAACCGCATTTGGCACATTTTATCAGATGTGTGTTGCCCACGTAAGTCAATTAATTGAGGCGAAGGGAGCTGTGCTGAGACCCTGCCTTAGAGTGATTTCCCAAGACTCTTCTGGAAATGAGATGACACATCTCAAGAGATTATTTCCTGCTAAAGTCATTTTAAATAACTATATTAAAAAGAAACCAGAAGTTACAAGGCGGGCCTGATTCTGTCTTTCACCAGCGGCCCTTCATACCTTCGGAAATGTGAAATTAGTACTTTAAATCTGTATTAATATTGCCAGAGCAGTTGGCTTCAAGTCAATGTGATTTGGGACAGGAAAATATGCCTTGCCTTGCCGCTGGGTCTGCTGCTCCAGCAGAGGAGGGATGTCAGGAATAATACCATCAGCCCTCCCGACAGGCTGCCTGCACACACCTATTCACAGCGCAGGACTAATTCTGTATTAAGCAAGAGCAAGCTGATTAAACCCGTAGCTTTACAAAGAGGGGGAATTAACCAAATGAAAACATTCATTTCGACACAAAACTTTATGATACTGTAACTTTGGAAACAAAGCCCTTTTCTGAGCAATCCCATCTGCTCCACTTGGCTTGTGCTCTTTGAAATAAACATCTGTTTACACGATGAAGACACGGGTACATTTGTCTCTGTTGGTTTCATCATAGAAAAAGCATTAAAATGATTTTAAGCGCAAAGTGAAACATCAGATGCTAAAATCGGGGCGGTGGTTTTGAACATTTGTTTATGACTTTGCTCTTCGAAAGGAAGTTTTTTTAATTCCCGACCCGACACCGTTGCGAAAGGACCTTTTATTGAAAGGCATCTCCAGGTAAGGCTTTAAAAAAGCCAGTTCTTCGCTCCTGCCCACCTTGGCCAGGCAGTTATTCAGCAGGACGAGGCAGTAATCAGATTTTCCATACAGCTGGCAATTCAAATAAAAAGGATTGCTGCTCTGAAGATAAAAAAAAAAAAAGAAAAGAAAAGAAAAAGAAAAAAAGAGACAGATAAAAAACAGTAAAATTATGGATTTGTGTATTTGCCAGGACTTGTTCAGTACAAAAAGCACAGAAGAAACACAAAAACAATTTATGCTTAGAATGACAAGGATGAACTGTTATTCGCTAAGGATTCATCACATTCAGAATCAGATATTTTTGTAGCTCTCTAGAAAACTCAACTGTGGTATTTCTGGCATAAAATACTGATACTGTTACAATTATGTTTAAGGTATGAAATGAATTGTTTTCCATGATGTTGACCAGTTGTGACATGTAACAGTTTCTCTAGAGTAGCACATATGTTTATTGCTGTAAAATGAGATTTTTTTTTCAGTTAACTCTGAAACAGCACCTTGTTATCACTTGTGTGAAGCCGAGTAGTTTAAATAACAGATATGAGAACATGAAAATACCTGTACAGCAGAAATTTGGGGGCAGTTAGGACTAGTTATGGTGGTAATTATGACTAAATTGAGTAAGGACAAAATAGCAATGGGAATTTTGAAAAGTCTGGACTAAAATCCAGATAGGTTTATGTTACATGTTCCTCTTACCTGCACTTTACGGTACAGAGATGTCAACTACATCGGAAAGTTTTACAAATTTAAGTTGCATTTAAATTAAGATTGAATTTGAAAGGAAACACTTCCTGGCATGTCTATAGCTGCCTGTGCTGCATCCTTGCCTGGGACACGGCTGCATGGAAAGCCACGGGGTCAACAGTTGCCTTCACTGGAACTGATGGAAAGATTGCCGTTAGCTTCACTAAGATTAGTTTTAATTCAGTATGCTATTAGTTTTATTAATACTGTTTAGTACTTTACTTTTTTTTTCCCTGTTCTGTGCCTATAAAAAGAAGATTAATGATCTTTCCTGCAAGCAAGAGCATGCACTGAGTCTAAAGAACCGGGCAGGCAGCAGCTCCCTGAGCACACAGCTGCTTCTGCCACCCACTGGGATTTTTTTTTCCCCCGGACTGAAGTTTCTCCCTAACAAGAAGAAATGCTTTCTGCAAGAAACACGGGCACAGAGAAAGTCCCCTTTGCATTTTCAAGCTGCTGTCTCCCAGCCTACACAGGGACTTACACTACGGTATAAATCACTGTTATTTCAACATGCAGAATATTCATTTATAGGAAATAATTAAGCTCATTTTACCTAATCTGCCATTGCCACACAGAGATCCACTACGAAATGTGTCTAGTCAGTTTGAGATGTGTCTAAACCATCCATCATCAGAAATGAAAGATGATTCAGCATTTACAGAAGTAAAAGATGCAGAGGAAGCGGGCGATGGATAGATTAAGGCTAACGGGAATATCACATCAATAAAATAAACAGCTGCATGAGAGGCCACCGCTTCTGCGAGCGACAGACCACCTTAATGAAAAGATAATGATGCAAAACACAGCAGAGGAAACACAGAAATCTGAACCGTGGCCTCAAGAGCTGATTTTACAGCAATAAAGAAAGAGGGTGTCTAAAGAAGGCTTTGTCCAAAGCAGGAAAACTGAACATCCTTAGCAATAAAATGTCTCATTCCAGCCTGGCAAAGGCTTAAATGGTGTATGAACAGTTTAACCAGCAATCTGTCATGGTGACCTGCTCGAGACCAGCACTGGAAGGGATATTAGCATTATTTAAGTAACCTGTTTGGTTTTACAGGCAGCTCTACTTTCTTTCATAGTTCAATCAAATTTGTATTACTGATTCCATGCAATAATTTTCCATAACTTTCTATAAGAATTTCTCCTTTCCCTACCCACTAACAGTGACAAACAAATTGACTGGTTTATAAACTTGCTAGCAATAAGTGAAATTAATACATATATCTTATTGTACCTGTTTGATATAGACAAGGAATTTAGATGAAATGGAGAGGAGATTGATGTTTTTCTCTTTTCCATACAGTATTTCAACTTCAGCAAAAGCTCCCCACACTCTACATTAAATATGCAATAGATTTCTCACATGATTATTTTAGAGGCTTGCATATTTTATTAGTAACTAAAGTAAAAATTGAGCTATACTCCAGGAAAATTAGGTAATAATATTTATCCAATAGTTTTAATAAAATAAATGTCTTTCATTTTATAAAAAACGACAACAATGAAGAAACAAGCACCCCCCAAAAATAATTTAAATAAAAGATCTATTTAAAAGAAATGAAGCATCTGATCTTCAAGTAAGTAGGGAGCATGACTTACCATGGAATGGACAACAGGGTAACCCGAGCACACAAATGTCATTGAGATCCAAAGAATGAAAACAAGGTTTAACCTGCATAGGCTTCAAAGAAAAAAATGGAGATCAGTTAAAATTTAAAACAAAATCAAGCAAAACTACATGCATACATGTAAACACACAAACGAGGTATTTTCTCTATACATTTTGTATAGAGAAAATATATATATTCAGTGTCTTTACCTGATCATTTTTTACTCAGGAGTGCATATGTAAGTACATGCAGTTGTACTACCAAATTCCTCACATATCCTTTCTGTTCTTTCTTAGATGACCATTTTATACCAGAGTTCAGGAGTAAAAATGTCATCAAAGCTGATTTTATTATGACTAATTGGTCCTTGTTTGGCCTTTTCTTCTTGTTAAATGGGAAAATGGCAAGAACACACATTCAGTTGCCATTATGAAACTACCAATTGATTTCATTTAAAGTGTTCCATTAAAATGTCTCTCAAGTGGGCTTACTGTTAAGTCTGTATCATCATAGCAAAGATGGTCAAAGGTCTAAAGATGTCAAAAATACGTTTCAAGACTTTTTTAACACTTCCAATATATCATATTAAGCCTTTGTAAAGCCTGGCTGCAAGGGAAAAACAGCAAAAGTGCACTTTAAGTAGAAAGTTCCTCAAAAAAATCTTATTTTACTCAGAGCAGCCACAATACACAGAACAATATATATAGCTTTTGCCTTTTCTTTCCCCCCCCCCTTTTTTTTTAACATGCTTAGTTTTTAATGCACACAATTTTTAAGCGTTTGTCTTAGAACTTAAGCTCTTTGAACATTAATTTCTTCTCTTGCATGCTAATATATCTTAGCCTATGTTAGGTTTATTCAATCAAATCTTCTGTAAGATTAATCAATTCTGTTAATCTCCGTCAACGTAGCAAATGTTTAATGTCTAAGAGCATCATTTGTTACTGCAACAAATGTAATTGCGCTGCATTTAATTGAATTGTGCAACATTTCAGGGGATCCTGTGGTTTATTTATAGGGAGTACTGTGAGAATCCCACAAAGTCTGTGAATGTTGGACTGCACAGGCAAGGGAATGCTGAAAAACATTAAATTCCAATTTTTTTTCTTTAAATGAAAACACTAAGGATCTTTTTTTGACAGTCACCCAGTGTTAGACAGGCACACCAGTGACTCAGCAGCCTCAAACAGTGCATTTCCTTCAGTGTTTACACTGAAAACTCAACGTACAAGGGCTCCAGGAGGGAACTCTGTGTGAGTCTTTGGGGACACCTGAGCTGCTGTAAATTATGGCAATTTTAACTGGAACATTCTGTCTCCTGATGTAGATGCATTTAGTTCCAGAAGGTAGAAAGCAGTAAGGCCTTCAGATAGAAGGCCTTCAGGAGGCCCTCAGGCCTTCAGAAGGCCGTCTGGCCTTCAGGCCAGAAGAAATACAGTGGCACGTATGGTCTTTAACACGTTCTATAGAAAAATTCACTATTTGATCCCCGATTGTGGTTGAATATTTTTTCATCCTCACTGCACGTGCCGGTGCTGATCATGGCAGCGGCAGATATTTAAAAAGGACGTGTTTGTAGCTGCTGCTAAAGCACTTCAGGATTCTTCAGGACCAACACGGCTACAGAAATATAAGATGAAATTAGCCTCATTTAAACACTGCAGTAAGCAATCCATTTATAAAAACTGTCAAGAGAACATTTGACTATTTGCATATTCAGTCTGTGCCCTCTTATACAGCTAGAAAATCCCTTCGTTTGAATTGAACATCCCGTTCCGACTCATCCAGGACCCCCAGCTCCCCCCGATAAGCGGATTAGCCCGTGTTTCTGCCGCAATGAAAAGCACAACGGGTTGGATTCTGCTTGAGCATAGTTTAGCGTCAGCTTTCATTGTATCTGCATTTAGTTTAACTCCATTTTAATACGAAATTAACCTTCACACAACATTATTTGCAGAAGACAAGGGACAAGAAAAGCCTTGTGATTTAAGTTCAGGATTTCTAGGTTCAATGGGGAGTCTATGACTTTCTGGGCAACCTCTGGTGCCTTATTGACTTAGGCTTTTTAAATCATGAATTGTTTGAGTCCCTGGTGCCCTCCCATTGTGCCTGGTCAGTACCTCCTACGTGAGGATGTGAGAGGTGCCTTGAGTCCTTCTCTGTAGGCACCTTCAGCATGAGCAGGTGGTGAGAGGACAACCAAGACAGGCCACCAAGCAGCTCCCAGGGGACACCAAGGAGAAGGCCACTCTGGACGGGAGGAAGCTTTGTGGAGCTTGGAGCAAAGCAGCAGATTACAGAAACTTCAAATAACGTAGGAAGACAGCTCTCGTGTGACTTTCTGAGGAAGGACAAAAGGATGATCGAATACGCTCGTTAAGGATGTTTCACACAGCAGGTGGGAAAGGGAAAGAGGCTCATACAGCAGCAAAGCTCCCAAGGACTTCACAAAAATCGATTGCATCTGGTCTGAACACTAGGAAGAAAATAATGGTTAAACCTGAGGTTTAACCTGCAAAACAAGCAAAACCTGAGGTTTTGCTTGTATTTCATTCATGCTCTTTCTTAGAAAAACTCTTTAGCCTGATTTCTGTTTACAGTGCTGCCTAAAAGTCACCTATGACAGACTGTGGTCCTTAGGACCTGACTCTACAAGGAGACATGTAAAGTTTGGGGTTTTCCTCCACAAAATGCAAGAGCAGATGCCACCTTTTCAAAGCCACAAACTTTAATCACAAGGTGAGAAAGAGTTCTTGAGACACCACCAGCCCAGAACTGGGCTGAAGGGGCTTGTCCACCTTGGAGACCCACAGACATGACATTATCTGAACAGGGTGAAGATTCGAGCTCTCACATTTGCTTCTCACCTCTTTGAATTTATTTTTTCTAGCTATTCAGGATGCAATTTAACACACCACAACGGTGATTTGCATGCATAAAGTGTATATGGAGATTGAGATATGTTCAAGATATTCCCACTTCAGGTCTGGATGAATCAGGTTTAACAGAACAAGTGGCAATTGACATTTCTGTCTTCTACTCTGTCTGTAGAGCATCCAGTCTGAGGCTTTGCTCCCAGGTAAGGTTCACTGGCAGGTATCATAGGTCATATGAATCATTAAGAACCATAATAAAAATCCCAGCATCCATAAAATTTGCATTTTATGAGAATAAATTAGTGGCAATGTCTTCCCCTTCCCTGCAAAGCCAACAACATCACCTCTTCCCTCCTGCTTGCTTTGTTAAAGCAAGAGTGTATTGCACCTTGCTGCTGCTCTCGTCTGGTTTTCCCATCAAAACCCATGTGAAACACAACACAAAGGTTGTTGATAAGCCTTGCAACTTCATAAAGTTAACAGGCCTATAAGCTTTAGAACATGATATTTCCCTCCCCTATTCCAGCAGTAAATCCAAAGTGTTTAAATTGGCATTGTATGCCTTTGAGAAGGGATCAAAACAATAAAAATGAAAGGGCGCACCAAAACCTGCCTGCATGGCCCACTGGTGTAACCCCAAACATTACAAAACCATAGCAGGATAAAGGCAAGGTACTAAATCTTGTTGTTCCTCTCTAGCATGCTCACAGTGAAACCTCAGCATGGATTTTTTTGGGGGGGGTAAAGCTGCCTGGATATTTTGCTCCAAGCTCAAATTTTTTTGTTTTCAAGAACATCAAGAAAGCAAAGAGCCAGGATGGTTTGCTTTGAGATCATGGCAAAGTGCAAAATGGAAATTAATCATACCCGCAGCCTATAAATCTGTTTCTGACTCAGTGATAATAGAAAATCCCAGCAAGACACAAAGAAAGGAGAAAAACAGAAGTCAGAAAGCGGGTTTATTCCTTCAGTCGCTATTGCTGTGTTCTCACCACCAGCAAGGGTAGTGAGATACAACCAAACCCTTCCCTTGCACCACTGAGATCTCATCTACAGAGGCACAAAGGAGCTAAAAAGCCACGGTAGATGCACACTTGACCGTTTCTGTGCATTTCCCTGCCATGACTGTTTCTAATCCCATTAAACTTGGTCCCTGGCTTGGTCCCAGCAGGTCTTTGGCTGACCAGGGTGAGGGGTTCCGAGGCCAAACAGTGCAGGAGCCAGGGAAGCATGGCTCTTGCCTCCCCTCCTGCCCTCAGACACTTGTCTGGGCAGAGACTGCCCATCTCTGAGCCCTCCAGGAGCACACAGGGCTGGAGCCTCTCCTCTGTGTTATTTACCCTGCTCTCGTGCTGCCGAGGTGTTTGCAGAGAAGTTCTCTCTGCGGAGGATGTGATAGTCTCATCAAAGGTCAGGTGCATATTTTCCGAGTCCACCGAGGCCCGCACTGGCTGCTGTGGATAAACAGCTCTGCGTTCCTCTTTCAACTTCCAAAGTTCTCCAAGAAGGAGAGAGGCGTTCGTTGAATTTCATTTGGCTTGCTCACGTTGCCACCCACAGAGCGAAGACCCGTGAGTGACACACTGCTCCAGCCCCGTGGAGACCGGTGCTGAGCCCTGGCACGGCAGCCCTCCCTCAAAAGACACACAGCTCCTTTGTCAAACCTAATTTTCAATGCGATCCCACTCAGACATCATCCCCCTCTAAGCCTGCGTTAACAGGGTCTAAGGGTCCAGCAATGCACCTTCTGACGCACCGAAAAAGCAAATGAAAAGGGCATTAACGCCCAAAGCAGCACGGCTGCTCCTGCCTCCTGCTCAAAAACAGCATCCTGGTGGGCTTGTTTTACCTGGAGAGATGCTCAGCAGGAGGAGGTGTGCAGCAAGCAAGCAGTGTCAGACCATGTAAGGAACAGAGTGCAAGATTTGTAGGTATAGAGGTGATGTGAACCTTGGGGTCCAGGGTGCCACCTCATTTCCAAGCTCTTCTGCATCATCAGAGCTGTGCACGTTACTGTCACAGCAAAAGGGATGAAGTCACAGTCTGGTCCCCCATGCCAGACGTAGAAATTACCTTTAAAGTGACATTTTGTATCATGTCTCAGACAGGAATTGTTGGCTGTGTCATAGTCACCATCCTAGAACGGTTTGGGTTGGAAAGGACTTTAAAGCCCCCCCCAGTGCCACCCCCTGCCCTGGGCAGGGACACCTCCCACCACACCAGGTTGCTCCAAGCCCCCTCCAACCTGGCCTTGAACCCCTCCAGGGATGGGGCAGCCACAGCTTCTCTGGGCAACCTGGGCCAGGCTCTCACCACCCTCACAGCAAAGATTTTCTTCCCTCAGGGTTTTAAAGTCTAAATCATCATCTATAATTATACATA